TCTGTGCCTGATGGCGAAAGTCAGCATCGTTAACCCAAGAATCTGATGAGACCATCACTTAATCTGTGCCTGATGGTGAAAGTCTGTATAGATAACCCAAGATAACATATTACATAGGAACTAATTTGACTAACTTATATTGGTTCTTTACATTGATGTTGTAACATTAGGAATTGGTCTTCTTGGGTCTTGGGATGGATTTGCAGGATCTTGGGGGGTCTTGATACAACAACATTCCATTCCACGCTAAGCAAATAAAAAAGTGCTTGGCAAATGAGGGAACTGTGAGTTACGTTTGTGTAGCCGGCGGCGGTCTTCTCAACCTCCATGGCCCAGTTCCTGTACTTCACTCTCATTTCCTCCAGCTTGGCCTCCATCGCCAGACGGTGTGGTTCCCAGTCTTCCTTCAACTGGTTCCAGTAGCTTGTGGATCTCGTCTGCAGTTTGGAAGAGAAGAGCAAAGGCAACTCAATTTCTGCCACGCTACTGGGAAGGGAGACACAACTTTTTAGTCAAAAAGGGGACAACGAAGACAGAAATTTCTTTGTTTTCATCAGAAGTGATGAATGGAAAAGAAAATCGTTAAGATTTTTGGACAGACTCGGCTCTTTCTCGGAATGCAGCTCGGTAGCATATATTTTACATGTAACAAATATTCACATTACATATACAGCCATGTGTCGTGAGAAAACCTTTTTCCCAACTGTGAAGTATATGAGAGATGTACATGCATACTTCGGTCATCTTTTTTGCTCCTGGTATTTTTGTTTCCTTGTTTTTTTAACCCCTTCGCCCCGGTAATTCCTTTGACCGCGACTGCTGGGCTGTGGTATGCCCTGAATGGAGGGCTTTGTCCAGCAGCAGGCCCCATTGAACCAGCAGCTGCATGGTGAATAGACTGTATGTGTGGTAGGCACCACTCCTCACACAAAGCCGCTCACACAAAGCCGCGGCTCTTGCCGTCTCCCGGAGCAAAGGGGTTCAGAGGGCAACAACCCCCACCCCTGCTGTCCCTCTTGCTATCGCACTGTACCTGAAGGTCCTCCATCATGTCTTCCACTTGCTCTTTCTTGGCCTCGAGCTTGGCCAGGAATCGCTCCTTCATGTCCTCCAGGGTGGTCTTGATGTCGGCGTTGCTCTCCAAGAAATCCTGGTAGGAGGCCTGGACGAGTTCCCGCATGCTCCCTTGGCTGGCTGCCATGTTCTTGCGGCGTTGCTCCATCTGTCTGATGAAGCTGTCGTAGACGTTCGCGTAAGTGTCCTAATATACAGTTTAATGAAAATTATTCTCTTATACAAGCCAAATCAGTTGAAGTATTTTCACAAGATCCCTACCACTGATTATTAAAGTGACCTAATTTGATAAATAACCTACATGTAATACACCATACTACAGTAATATTTAATGAAATAAAAGCACAAAATTTAACTTAACATTTTTGAAACAGGGAAATTAAAAGACCTTTACGAGCTCTGAATCAAATCCACTGCAGATCCACTAGCAAGTTGAGCCATGCTTGAATGTACTGGCTGTGGCAAGGAGTAACACAAGTCTGACAGCAGCCACGTCCACATGGCTTCCACAGACTTACATGCTATCTCACCCACAGCAATACATTTTGTACTTGGGCTGAGGCCGCCCATGGCCCTCTCCGATTCACCACGGTACGATACGGCTGCTTCACAATAGTGCGCCACCAAGACTTTGCAACGTGTTGGCCAATCACAATGCACGGAATTCGTCGACCCATTGCGCGTTTGGAAAAGGTCGACAACTTTTGCGCGTTCTGATTGGCCAATGCGTTGCAAACTCTTGGTGGCGCACTATTGTGAATCGCCTGTATTAAATTCATTAGCCATCACATCATTTCACTCTGGGTTTTGTTTTTGTTCCCCTTTTTTTCCGTTTTGTCATTCCTGGGGTACTGGTTTGTGGTACTCACTCGGCAGAAATCCACCCACTCGGGTCTCCACTGCAGGTGGCTTTGGAGGATCTTGGGGGTTTCCAGTGCCAGGAGGAGACTGGCATCCACGTGGTACTCGCCCTTCATCTCGGAGTCCAGCCGGGCCTGGAGGGCCGTATCGTTGACAAAGCCGGCCCAGAAGCGGATGAAATCATTGGGAATGTCTGGGAGAAGCAGGGGGGGTGGAATGGGAAAGCACATAAACCAGCTTGAAATGGAGAGGAAATCGGGAGGCTTGTCCGGAAAAGGAGGCCGCACATAAGCAGGTGAGGAAAATGCGCTAATCATCAGAAATTGTCCGGGAGAACAAGGACACAAGGGGCCAGCTGCTGTACGTATCAACCAGCTTAAAAAGACATGAAATGTGACCAGGTCCCACAAAATGAGCCCTGAGGCCATTTTTTCCCCTGTGATTTGCTCATATCAATCGGAAAGAGCAAACAGAACTTCTTCTTTTGATGCATTATTAAGCCGGTCTAAACTGGACACTAGGTGGGTTAAAAATGTTGAGGGTTTCTACTGTTCAGGCTTTCATTGTGCAAGACTTCATCAAGGCCTTATAACACAGGAATGCAACTTTGTAATTGATACGACCTCGTTAGGTTTTGTACGGTGCTCCTCATTTAGAATGGCATTGTTGAGAGGCCAAAAGTGAGGAAATTAGCAAAGCCAAGAGATAGTTGGATCCTTTGCGGACATCCTAGCAAAGCTGTCCGGAAAACCTTGGGACTGTCTGGAATACCTCAAGGCTGTCTGGAAAGCCTCAGGAATAAGAAAATATGCAGAATGCTAAGCAAATTTTAGCTTTGCTTAGCAGAGCACAGCTCTGTGACAATTAGCACCTTTTCTTAGCATCTCACCTCCTTGGGGATGCGATTTTTTTTCTCTCTTTTCCTGACTGACCTGGGTTGTAGTTGACTCTGTAAGAGATTTCCTTCAGCAGGCTGTTGAACTCAAACATGGAGTTCATGATGCGGGTCCTATCGTATGTGTTGGTCATGGTCAGGCGGTAGATCTGGTAGTCTTCAGAGCGGCTCTCAAAATGACCAGTAAACACCATGTCATCCCAGGGTGAGTTGATCTGTAAAGGACAGAGAGAAGCCAGGTAGGACCATTTTTAATCAGATTCACATGCCTGCAAGTCATGGGCATTGCCAAGATTTGGGTTTTTTTTGGGGGGGGGGGCAAACCACTTATCTGTTAAAATAGACATGAACTATTAACAGCTGAGAGGAACCAATATCAAAGTATTTCAAGAAAATGGCTGGTTTTAATCCCCTTTCAACTTTTTTCTCCCATTTTTTCACATGCCTCCTCCTTCCCTGGTGTAATTTTCAAGGTTTTTAATTTTTGCGACGCTCACGTCAAGCAGCAACGAAGTAAAATAACGTCAGTAGCAAGTTCAATCAATTGACCACAAGCTGGTGGAAGCGAGCAGGTGTCACGCTGACTGAACTAGTCCTGCGACCCACCCAGATTGAGATCGGAAGAGGAAACCCGGCCAGGAGTGACATTTCTTGCCCTGAGCCTTCTTCGCCTGACATTTTTCAGGTCTGTGCAGCCAGTTCCTGGTGGCATTTGTGTTCTCATTATCACTTATAGCTACTGGTGACCCAACCATTCGTGAACGCAGCTCCTGAATCAGAGTTTAGTTGTGCGACTGGCAAACCTAGTCCGCTGTTTCCGACAGCGGACGTTCAACACTTACGAAGACGGTGTACTCCTTTTGTCTCTTGTCCCAATCCAACTCGAAGGTGAAGGGCTGGGGTTCATTCTCGACAAGGATTTGGCCCTCAATGCCGACCGAGATGGTCTTCTTGTTGTCCAGGTAGGCACTGACAGAGGGAGGTAAGGAGCAGAAATAAAAAGGGGAAGTTAAAAAAACAAGAGAACGAGTCCCAACAAGACAATATTTAATAACAAAGATGAACGAAATGCTGCAAAAATATCAAATTTAAAAACCAGTCAGCTAGTAACAACAGAAAAGTAATGCTAGTTTGTAACTTTTCAGCCAAACTTCTGTCTTATAGAGTAACCTTTCCCCAGTGGGGCTATGAAATCGGCCTTAGAATATAAGCTTAGGAAGAGTTTATAGTTCCATTTTAGTAAATAGTTACTATCAATTATCTATTGAATGAATTTAAAAATGCAAAACAAAATCCAGTCCTGAAATTGCAATGAGAGTCACTTTCAAGATCCTTGCAACATCCATGGGCAACATCCATGAGCGACGATTAATAGTTGGACTAACACCATCTGAACGATGAATGGTTTGGACAGTCCAGTCAACCAAACGAGACAAAGCCCGGAGGAATGATCGTACCACTGGTTATCAATCGCCAATTTCATTTATCATTACTAAGTAAACCGTTCACTTGAAAATAAATTGTACGAGATTTCCACAACCATGTGCGCTGAGGGAATTGCAGACAAACGGTGAAGCGGGACTTATAGTGAGATTTTAGAAAATCGATGGACTAGGTTCCTTCGAGTGTACACTGAATTGGACATGCGCATTGTTAAAAAGCAACAGACTTCTGTCGCTCTATTGTTAACAACCAAATCTGCCCAATACTGAAAGTCTGGGACCCCACCCTGACTTCCAGTCTCTTTACTCACAGTGTTGTGCTCATGTCCAGGCCACTGACTAAGTGCTCCAAGGCCATGTTGAAATCGTACCCCACGCTGTCAGTGCTGGTTTGGTTCACCACTTGGATCATGGCATTCACTTCTCTCCGGTCATCCTCGCTGTATCTGATGGTCAGGTCCGAGCCGAAGATGATTTTCTCGTTCATCCAGTCGGTGGTCAAGCTGAGTCGAATATCCTGAATTTTTTTTGGGGGGGGGGTTGTTTTCAAAATGAGAAAAAAGTATCACTTTAGACGTAATTGTTTCCAGGTTGCTTCAGAGCAAGTTCTTTCAACTTAAAACTTTCAAACACCAAGCATTCAAACACTGCATATTCCAACTGTTCAAAACAAGAGGACCCATGCATTTTCCCCAAGAAAAGGAGCCTCAAAAATATTTCCCTTTCCCTTGGAAAAGTTTTCAAAGGTACCAAATATATAGCTTCACCCCTCAGAAACGTGATACAAGATGACATAAAAAGAAACTGGCAACATGGTTGGCCCCCTCCCGCCTTCCCAAATTTAGTTCTGGATCCGTCGTTTTCTTTACAATGCCTCTTAATGCATTAGTGTTGCTCTTGCATTGCACTTGCAACGCCAAAACCAGACTCTAACATTTTAGAACGTATTTCATGCTCATTTTACTTCCAACCCAACCCTTTTCCCTAAATTGTGATTTTGGTTCCACACTTTGTCAACAGCTTCAAAAAATGTATATCTACAAGAACAGTATACTGGCTCTCGGGATGCTAAGTCGATCAAGTCTTTTGACTTTCATGCAAGATATTCAAATTTTATTCATATCCATTAATACTATTTCGTTATTGGTCCTAAATTCCATACTCTCCCAATTACGTATTTGTCTGTTCTTCGCATTCCCACGTTCTTACATCATGGTCCGGCCTGATAAAGTTCAAGATAGCTCGATGTTTGTACCAATTGCCATTGACGCGCTCATAAGAGCCCGAGAGCATCATGAGTCTCGCGTCCTCGTCATTGAGTTCGATCTGTTACAAGGAATGAGAAACCACAATGACCTCAGTGTTTGTGTAACATTAAAGAGCTGAGCTTGAAGAGTTATTACAGAACGTAGGGCTGGTTCCAAATACTGTGTTAAATGATCACGACACTTATCGCCACAGCAAGTCGGTAACTTCCATGAAGCATACCCAGTGATACTGTGTTAGAATGATCACGACACTTATCACCACAGCAAGTTGGTAACTTCCATGAAGCATACTCAGTGATACTGTGTTAAAATGATCACGACACTTATCACCACAGCAAGTTGGTAACTTCCATGAAGCATACCCAGTGAGACAGACAGACAGACTGACAGACAGACAAACAAACAGACAGACGGCTGTGCACAACGTCAACTGCCATACTTATTTTTCTCTTTTTAAGTACTGCAAATTTTTTATGGAAACAGAACTTAACTGTCTTTTCTGTAACCTTTGGGGGAAACTCTTTCCATAAAACCTGACAGTCAGATTCAAACTGTCTTGTTTATGAAATTGTCTCCATGTTTACTCTTGTGTTGTAATCAAGTGCTTCAAAAGTATTTCTCAAATACTTCAAAAGTATTATATATTCTTATATTTAACTGTCACATTTTAATTGCTAACAGGGTAAATATTTATACAGGAATATCTTAGACACATTCTATGGAGTCAATTACTTTGAGGACTACGATACCAAAGGAAGACCTTTGATAACTCCTGGATCAAGTTTGGGTTCTCGATTAGGCACTGCCTTTCTCATGGACTTACTTCAAAGGAGCTCCTGACGGTGGTATCCGTGTTGTTCCTCAGCACCAGGTTCATCTCTCTGGGGAGCGGGGGCAGGTCCATGGGCTGGACCACCTGGATCTCCATCAGGTCCTTCTGGATGGTCAGCCGCAGGGAGGCTGCCTCCGCGTCGGTCAGCTGACCCCAGCGGAGCTCTCCCTTGCGCATGACCGACACGTCCAGCATGTCATCCCAGTCCCAGCGGAGGCCCAGGTTGAGGAGGGCGGGGTAGTCCGTCATCTGGGGGAAGCTCATCCGCAGGCGTGAATTTTTACGGGAGTGCGCCTCCGAGGGGGAAGTGTTTTCAAATGAATACACGATGTTGATCTGTCCATACAAGAAATTGGATTCAAATTTAACATTTTCAAAGTGGTGTACTCATTGGATGGATCAAGGACTAATACAGCCCGACCCCCAAAATCTGCACACGACAGGCATAAACTTTATCTACGACAGCTACAGCTGTTGTCAGTGAATGCCTAAGTATTTGTATTTTGGAGATTTGGAGCTAGATCTGGAAAAACAAGATGAAGATTCTGCCTTAAGTTTATTGTTCATCTGTAAGAAATCTCCTCACACTTAGCAAACATGTCTTGATCTGCAAAGTTTTTGACTACTTGTTCTGCCATTTGTTTGAGTAGTTTTGAAGTAGAGACGACTTACCATTGGTTCCTCGGAGATTCTCAAGCCAGAGTTCAGGTTGTACTGATTGTCAGCGATGCCAAAGTGGGTAGTGAGCTCAAACTGTCTGTTGGGGAGGTAGGTGTTGTCAACCTGGAATGTCACATCATAGGTTTCCCGTTCGGTTTCCGATGATCCCATGGCCAGGGTGAACAGGATGTCCAGGTTATTGTCTTCCGAGGTGGAAATAATGACGTGGACATTCTCTGTGGCTGAGCCGTTAGTGTAGACAGCATTGACGGTCACAGGGTCGATGTCTTCAGATTTAAGGGTGATTGTCACGGTATGGATCTTAGTCATCCCGTCGACTCTCGAGTAAGTCACGTCGGCCTCGGCAATCGGATTCATCTGGTCAGCACGGTAAACCTTGACATTGGGGTGGAAGGAGTTGGCATCCTGATTGTGCACAGTATGGATTCGGAATTGGTGCTCAAAGAAATTGAAATTGGAGTCCACATCGAAGGCCTTCCGAGTGCTGTCTGAGTCATTCCTTACAGTGACATCCACTGCAAAGATGGACACCTCAGAAACCTGGATAGTGACAGACGTGCTGTAGGTGGCTCCTTGGACGTAGCTCAGGCTGCCCTCTGTCGTGATGGTGTTCTCGGGGGAGGTGAGGGTCAGTAGCAGCGTGTTGGAGTTCGTCTCACCCTCTGTCTTGTTGGTATACTCCACCTGGAATTCAAACCTGTCCTGCTTAGCATTTATAACTCCAATCTCGACGGAGGACAGTCCCTGGACAACGCCCGAGCCCAAGTCAAACTTGGCCCGGTTGAAGATGCTGAGGCGGCGCTTAGGGGTCTCAAAGGTCGTGGTCAGCTCATTGTGGGTGACCAGCTCGTCACTCTTGTTCTGGTAGTGGACGGTCAGGACGAAGGGCCGCTCCTGATTGGGGAAGTACAGCAGACGGGTGTCAAAGTTGAAGTTGGTCGGGGCCAGGTCCAGGGTTCCATTCCACTGGACGTTCTTCATGATGGCCAGAGGGGTTTGGAGGAGGATTCGGACCTGGTGATGGTCAGTTCCAGCCAGCAGGCTGTTCTTCTTGTCCATCTCTTCAGCAACAAAAATCTCCTTGTCGTAGCCAATTTTCAGCAAAAAAATAGGCACTTTACCTCTGCGAACGACAAGCTGATGGTTGTGGTTGCCATTGATCATGCTGAAGATGAGCCTGTAATCATACCCGGGCAGGGGAAAGGTCATGTTCTGAGTCTGGTCAAGCGTGACATCATAACTTCCCGTTTCTTCATTTGTGGTGAAGGTCATGACAGTGTTTTGGTAGTAAATAAGCCTGCCGTTGACGTGAAGTGACCGCTCGTACTTGGATGTGTCGCTGCTCATGGTTGACGTTTCCATGAGGGCCAGGCTGAAATCCCTCTCTGGGATTTCCACATCAATAAACATCTTGCTGCTTCTCTCGCTCAGCAGGTTCTCACCGACTCCAAAAGTCGTGCTGTACCCAGACGTGAAGATCTTGGTGTCTCCCCGGGTGACATTGAATCCTCCCTCGATACTGGACTCACCTAAGCTGCCATGCAGCATCACGGAGATGGGGCTCATGGGACGCGTGATGTTAAAGGAAGCATCTACACTGGTGATGGGCTGGTTATACACCACGGTGCGGTTGGTGAAGTCGATCCGATAAGCAAACAGGGACTGATCGATGAGAGAGGCGGAGGCCCCGTGGGAGAAGTCGTAGCCCCTCTTCCAGGCGTACCAGTTGACTGAGGCACTCCCCAGTGGGTAGGTCAGCAAGGAGTTGAAGTCGTAGCGCTCGAGGCCTGTCTCGTCATTGGTCGGGGTGAAGGTCACTCTGAAAGTGGCCCGCTGGTCGTCCCAATGGACGGCGGTGTTCAGGACTGCCCTGCCGCCCTCCACAAAGTCCCAGTCCTGCAGTAGGGCATATCGCCATGTCTGGGATTGCAGGGAGGCCAGGAAGTCGCCCCGGATGGGCTCCTGGCTCAGGGTGCGGACGTGCAGTCCGGCATTGATCACCTCCACCTCGGAGGTCTTGTTGAAGACAGAGAAGGAGAAGTCCACCGGGTGGCTGGAGTTAGAGACAGAATGCTGTTGGAACTCCAGGTTAATACTGTTTGCTGGGTTGCGGATCTTGAAGTTCAGATTCTCAATCGTCTGAGCCTCAGAGGATTCCCACGTCAGGAGATGGCTCATGACAACCTGTCACATTCAGACAAAGAACATTTAGGTCTCAAGGAAACTCTGTAATCTTGACAGGTGAACTGATAAATATCCAAACCCTCGGTTGAAGGACCAGATTTAACAAGTAACGATTGTACAATAAATTAACACTCTGAACTACCCACACATACCAAAGTATATTTCCTCCTGTATTTTCATAAATATATTTAAATATTACATATTTTCATCTGCATGTAAGCAGTCATGACAGAACAACGGTGGTGGTAAGAACCTACTCCTTGTTGTTCATGTTCATTACAGTATGTTATAGAACCACAATTGAAGTTCAAGCATTTCTACAACACTGCTGTTCTCCTTCGTAAGATCATGAGAAATTTGGTTGCCTAAATGGCCAATGGTTGGTTGCAATGGCCAACACTGCAATGGCCAACACTGCAATGGCCAACAATGCAATGGCCAATAGCAGTATTTATTAGAACTGTCCTTAAAAGTGTGCCCTGGCAAATTCTCCAACAAGCCAGACTTTTCATCAAGTCTTTGGAAAGCCGTCGTGAGTAGGTTTACCAATACCTTGGTGTCTTGGCCGCATTCTGCTCCGTTGTAACGATAGCACAGCTTACTGGTAGCCTCAGAGGAACCTGCGGGGCCGACGTACTCAGTCTCAAACAGGAAACTCAGGAGAGGATATCGAGCGAAAATCCATTCCGTCTTCAAATCCCACTCCTTGCGGTCCTGCAGACGGAACAGGAGCCAATGGTTTATAAAAAACTTGAACTGGGAGAGGGGAGGGGCACTGAAGTTTCTTATGCAATCTTTTCAAATGGGTGGGTGTAGTGATCAAAGTGTGACCAGCAACTTTTTAACACCCAATAGCCTAAGTGAGCTATGTTCTGATTCAGGCCTTTTACAACTTAACAGACTGAACACTTCCTCAGAATTAATGTTTCTACAACTTTTTTTGATCATGCACTCTGTGACATGTATACTGAGAGAACCACGTTTCTTTGCAGCCATTCTCAATCCAGTCTGCCAAAGTATTTTTTTCCAGTTAAAATAGATGTATCCCAAATATAATGTACATAAAAAAGTTTACAAGTCTTATTTCTAGCTAGCTTCAATACAGGCGGCAAAACATTGCCCATTTCAAATTGGATCGCCTGCACAGCAAGCAGAGTTCAGAAAGGCCACTTACCCGTCCTTTTCACAGGAACTTAAAGCAACCATTAACCCTCCTTTGGTTTTGCAGCACACATATACACAAGTGCCCAAGGTCACTCTCTTGCACATTGGTGCAGTGCACAACATGACACAGCTGTGCTTCTTTGAGGTGTTTACCAAGTGACCGAAAGAGTGACTTCAGCATAGGAGGGTTGATGAATGTGCTCGCACTGATGCATAACATTCCTGTCCAAGTAGACTGCAATACTGTTCTACCAAATCTCTGAAAAAAGTTTTGAGCACTTCATGCCTGTTAAGCTCACCCTAACCTCCCCAGGAGTGATAGGATTGGGGAGCTGGACTTACCTCAGTGGATCTGTTGGTGTACTTCACATTGATGTGGACATCTCTGGCGACCTCTCCGTTGATGCGTCGCAACACCATGGCATCCACCGTGATGATGTTGTCCTGCTTCTGTTTCTGCCAGGCGGCGGAGACGTTGACGTTGACGTAGCGGCCGGTTATCTGTAGGTCACTGCTGTACCGGATCTTCCTGGAGCTCTCCGTCTTCACGACGTCCCCTAGCGAGCCGGGCAGGGGGTGGATGCAAACGAAGGACGATTTATTCCTGGCCGAAAGGATCTGGTGCCCGTGGACCAGCCAATCATTTATTAAACCGTGGCCGGAAGTTTCCACTGCTGCCAACAGCGGCTTGAAAGCCATAGGCCACAGTTTACAGCCACTTCCGCAAGACGCAAGTGGCTCTGCTGGCCACATGCCAAGACTTTCAGAAACAGGTCCATAAACACAAGGAGTGTTCAGACATCAGAACTTGGGGTGTTCAGTAATAAGGTCACAATAATGTGGACTGTCTTAGAAAGAGACAAATTCTTCTCTTGCTTATGGATGTGCGCTTCTAGTATTTTAGGCAAACATACTAAATTGTTGAAGGAGAACAGATTCTTTGTTCGTGCAATTTATGATAAAACTATGGTGGAACTACCACTTGGCTGAAATACAAACGCATAAGCACTGTCCTAGCTCCTCATGAAAAGAAAGAGGATTTAGTACATGTAGACCGACTCTTTTAGGGGTGCATGAAAATTGTAATGGCAACTTAATATGCACGAAATATGGTGACGCAGAAATAACGAGATTTAGTTTGGGCGGACGACCTATGTCAGATCCACTCCGTACTGGAAGGTGACATAAAATTCCCTCAGCTTCAACTGGGGCATTAGTAATGTCAGTAATCCAATACCCCGGTGTGTGCTAACATTGACTATGGCCCTCAAACCATGTGATAATTGTATCTAATATCAGCATCAAGACGCCTCCCACGTACCGGTTACAGTGACCAGAGCGGTGCGCGGGCTGTCCAGCGACATCCACATGTTGACGCGCGTCTGCTGGCCGTCCCGGACGCTGATGGAGCTGCGGTAGTGCAGCACGTTGCCCCGGGGGCTGGTGATGTCCATGCGCGGGTAGAAGTTGATGACGGGGTCGCCCTCCACCACGGTGGGGCGTGACTCCACTTCGGCGTCCAGGGTGTAGACGTTGGTCTTGTCCAGGGTTAGCGAGGTCTCCAACTTCCGCAGCATCTCATTGTTCACCACTTTGCCTGTGGGAAGGAACAGTTCCAGGAAATCTTGACTTCCAGTTTTTCCAAGACTCCACCAAATCTCCAATTTCCTATTCGTTTCCATGAGATGCTCGACAGATATTTCCAAACGTTCACTGCTGAATCAAAACTGACCTATCAGACTCACATTTAGCCCTTTCGATATGTTTGCAGCAGAGAAATACAGAGCTGAATTGAGTCAGGAGACATCGACTTGGGGACTTGATACATAAAAATGACACCCAGGGATAAACCCAAAGATGAAACCGAGTTTGGAAGTCCCCCCCAAAAGGGTTAGAAGTGGTGTGAAAGGTATGTCCAGTGTGTGATGTTCAAATGCAAACAGCATGACTGTCACTGGCAGCATTGCACCTTTTGAAATCAAGTTCCACAGTGCTTGAGGATGTTGACATTGATTCTTGCTAATTTCCATCACTGATCATGAACCCTAACTGTAGTAAAAAAAAATCAAACCAACTTTTGTTCTGAGCTTTGCAATCCTTCAATGATTCCAAAACAGGAATTATCCACTCGTTTCAATCATCAATTGTCCAACATCCTGCTTTTACTGTAGGGTGCTTGGAGGTAGTTCCCTGAACTGGGAGGGTTTTTGCATTATTTCCGGGACGCTGAACTGTCGCAGACTGATTAACACCGGAGGAAGGAGTAAATGATGAGTCACTTACCATACACATCAACAGTCTTGATTGGCGTGATGATGTTCAAGTTCAGCTCTTTCTCGTTGCGGTTGAACGAGACGTCGAGTTGGAAAGTCCGGGGTATGTCGGTGCCCGGGGCTCCAAACATCAAGTGGAATCTGTCAGTCTGCACGTGGACGCCGTTGATGGTCTCCTGTTAGGTTTCGTGAAAACTTGTGAGGAAATCAATACTCTACTAAGATGAAACAGTCATTTCAGTTAACACCCCTTGACTTTTCTTTTCGTCCTTGGGAACCCTCTCAGTTCAGCCTCTTCAATTAAGCCTTCAGATTAAGCACGCCAGGCGTGACCTTTCCAATTCATCCTGAAGTACAATTTACCACCAGAGATACAATGGGACTCTCCATAACCTTCCACTTGCTTGCCAATCACACTGTGTTTTGGTCCTCAAGAAAGCCTACAAATCCCCACAGCTGAAAGGTTTCAATGGGTGACGGTATTCTGTTAAGAACTGTCCAGGAGGGTCTTTTGTGCTCCAGACTGAGACAACGCAGCTCACAACAGCTGTTTACTGTACAGCCAATGTTTTGATCCTAGAAGATCAGTGTGAGTTGGTGTGCTTCCAGATCGCACGGGCGAAAGAAAAATAGAAGTGGGTGCCGCAACGCAGCATGCAAGGAAGGATGTAATCAGTGCCCTTTGACCTGTCCAATCAAAAGGGTCGGACATTGAAATAAGGTGTGTTCCAAGACTTGAGTCGGAAAATCTGTACCTTGTCCAGTCCATATGAGCCCTCCAGCTTCCAAGAAGCGAGCGTGGGGTCGGTCTTCTCTAAAGTCACCAGCATGTGGGAAGGACCCGTCAGGGGAAACAGCGGGTAGGTGTTCTAATAGGAGAGAAAAAAGAAAGAAGGAAAAAGTTATTTAATTATTGGCTGGCAGTTTGCAGAAAGGGACAAGACTAAAATGAGGCTTTGTTTTTCCCTGTGTGTGCGCGGGGGTGAGGGGTGGGTTGGGTTGTGGATGCAGGCATTACATACCTTGGCATAGGATTTAGGGAAGGCAATTTCGGCACAGATCTGGCTGCCGAAGTACCTGGTGGTCAGTAGTCCCGAGCAGTACGATTTGTCCAGTCGCTCGGGGATTCCATTCAACTCTAGGGACTGGTCTTGCAGCCGGAGATAGATGCTAGAACTGCAGAGGACAGAGAAAGAGTAAAGAGATTAACCGGGATGCTTCACCAGACAAGCAGAAATACTGAAATCCATACTGATCTTAGGTATGGGTTGTGGAAGCTTTCACCAACCCCCCTTAAAAAGTTTTTCAGACTTGATATTCTCCACACAACTATTTAAGTCGAACAAATTCAGGTCACAGACCTTGTCACATCTCCTTCACCTTTAGCCATCATTATCCCCTGCAAACACTCTGCCGATGTACGGTACTTTTTCTGTCACGATACATGTAGTCGTAGCTCTGGAAAGCCGATTCAGATACAGCCCCGATTTCAGATATCCAACTCCCACTACTTTCTCCATCTGTTTCGATCCTCACCTGACATCGATGATCTCTTGCTTCTCGTCGGGGACGTTGATTTCCAGGACGAACGCCTTGCCGTTGGTGACCTGGATCTTGCCTCCTAGGGAAACAGAGGAGTGGAGGCGCGAGACCTGGTTCAATCCGGAGTGCGTCTGGCGAGCCACGACCTCCATGCTGGTGCTGACCTCCAAGGCAGCGCTGCAAGCAGACCAAACCATTTCTTGTTTAGAAAATCTAATTCAGTGGCATTCCATTTGAACGCTAACAGTAATAAAAAGATTAGGCAAGAACAATATATCGAACAAAAAGTTGAAAGTTTGGTATGAGACAGCTATTCTCTACGTGGCTTCTTTGGAACCCAAATCAGTCATGATATTGGGCTCCGAGTAAAAGGTTGATAACATTTAAGTGATTTTACCTGTGGCATGAAGACAACAGATGAATTAAATTTATTTCTGTGAAAATGAGTCACATACTTTACAACAAGATATCAACCACGTAGCTGTACCTGGGCTCCACCACGCCGTTGATCTCAAAGCTCCGAGGAGCCATCAGGATGCCACGCATGTCTATCTTGCCCTCCGTGCGGACCTTCATGGAGACGGTCCCGTTGACGGCCAGCTTGAGGGGCAGGCCCATGACTGTTGGGGTGGTCCAGGACCCGTCCAGCAGCAGGGCGTTCTTGCTCAGTTCGTGCGTCTGCTCCTGGGCCAACTCCATCAGCAGCTGGCACAGACGAAAAAAGAATGACAAAGATGGGGACTGTGAGAGTTACACATTTCAATGTGATGAATCAACAACCATTTTGTGAACGTGAGGCTTCCTTAAAGAAGGCGGACAAGAACGGGCAGATGCTCCAGCAGAAACGATTAATGGAGTACACTGACGCAAATTCATTACCATGACCTCCCTAAACCAACCCTGGACCTCGCTGGGAGGAATTACCAAAATCTTAATTCAAGACTAACTGGAGGGTTTTGGTACCTTCATGGGGTTCATGCTGGATTTCATCTCCGTCAGCCTGGTCTTGATCTTAGCGATGTCCATGTAGGCCAGCTCATTGCCGAACATCTTAAAGTAGAGGGAGGCATGCGGCTTGTCCTCAACGTTGGCATGGAACTGCAAGAAACATACCCCGAAAAATTAAAAGAGGGAGCTTTACTGTAAAGAGCTAAACAATGAATGCAGGCTGTGTCAAACAGCCTATGAATAGGAACAGTTCACAACACAATACACCCCAAATGTTTGTGCCCAAAGACGCCTTTTCCAGCCCTCTGGCTAGCATTGGTGACCTAGCTTTACTGGTTATTACAATTTAAGACTACAAATATCACGCAGGTGAAATTGGGGCAAGTGTTGTGACAAGAAAGGGGATTTGCAAAGATCTGATTGTGAAACTACAGGGGAAGGGTGCCGAGTTGAAACTTAGCACTGTGTAACGGAATCACAAAATGTCGGCATTTTCCAACAATGCACCATTTCTGTGGATTTCCTCAAGCCTTTTACAGTCAAGGTTTAGCAGAACAGACGAGGAAGCCATTTCGGATCATGCTCCCTGAATCTATCATATTAAATGTAATCTGGTAAATGGGGCAGTGCCAGACTAGTTTGGGTTCCCAAACCTCACTTTTTTTCAAACGTGGCTTAACACATACAGATATAATCTCTCACAAATTATTAGTTATTCAAAATGTAAAACTGCCATTGATTTGTAATAAACTTTTATTTTGTTGCTGTTATTTTCACTGTAAGGGTTCCTACAATGAAAACATAACCTCATTTTCAATTCAAGATGGCCGACACAGGAATACATTGTGAATTGCTTCTTTTTAAGAGCCTTGTGCACACCTCAGACTCGATGTCATTGATACTGCTCTCCTTGATCAGGTGCCTCTTCTGTCTGTCTTCTGGCAGGCCCTCCCTCATGAAGTAGACCAGCAGCTCGTCGTAGAGCTCCTGGGTCATGCCCTTGGGCATCCCGGATGGCATGGGGTCACCGGGGATGGGCAGGGGCAGCTGGCCACCGAACATCTTACGCTGGAACTGCAGCATGCGCAGCAGCTGCCGGTACATCTCCGGGGTGACACCCTCGGGCAGGCCCTCGGGCATCTCGGCTGGGCCGGCGTCCGGCAGGCTGTCCAGGAAGGCCTCCTGCTGCTTCTGCTGGTACTCCTGGAGGAGGTCCTGGACCGAGTTCTCCTTCAGGTAGCCCCGCGGCCCAAACATGGACTCCAGGATGTGATGCATGCCCTCCAGGCGACCTCCGATCTGCAATGGATTAAAAAAAAATGCCTCTGAGAACCTGTAAGTCCTCGTCAGACACACTTAACACCCATTTCATGGATTACCAACACCTCAGAAGGATCTAAGAACACAGAAGCAACCTTGCCTAATCTGATAGAATACCAAGGCAAAAGAAAGGTACTCTTTCACTATTAAGATTGACAAAAAGAATGACAACATTATTCCATGAAATCTTCCTTGATTCAACCGCTCCGTAGGTTTTACGCCTGAACAATATCCGGTTAAATCCGAGAGAATTTGAACAAACAGTAACGACTACCATGAACACTTATCCTGTGGAACCCTCTGAAAGCTTTGAATTTCTTTGGGATAAAAAGGAATCTCCAAAACAGGATTAACAGATTCGTTTCAGAGGATACGAAACTGAGTTTTAAATCAACAGGACTTTATAAATAGACACTGAAACAAATCTCCCCCATTTCCGCTGGTCTAATATCTCCTCTCTCTCTCTCCAACTCGAGCAGTTTCTTGCTAAGCTGTTTGCTGCAGTTACCTCAAAGAGATTGATGGCATAGCCAAAGAGGGAGACCGTGTTGTTGACCCTCAGCTCCCGGGGCAGGAAGGATTTGGTCGAGAAGATCATGTCAGCATCGAGGGTCATGCCGCTGGCCGTTGCATCTGTGAGGACAAACGAGCAAGCCAGGTGAAGCTTCAGTGCCGAAGCAGTGTACCCCGTTATGAGTGATAGGTCAATATCTGGCAACTTTTTTAGCCTATCGCCCCATCAAATCCTTCAACCCACTGTCGGGATGGAAACTCTCGGATATGCTAATTGGACCTCGCCATGCTTCACTGTATTCCACAAGTTTTGCCAAGGAAAAGCCATTTCCAAATTCAACCCATTACTGCAAAGGGGAAGATCTACATCTTCTCATTTTTAAAAACTTTTTTTTCGGCTTTCAAGTCCAAAGGAGTCCGTCGTTGAAAAGAACACAACGTCACTTAGCTGCTTACCATTGTACCAGGACAGCTCCATGTTGCGAGAGAACTTGCGCAGGTCCCGCTTGGCAGCAGGGCCCATGATACCGCTGTCCCGCACCCACTTCTTGAGGTGTTGCTTCTGGGGATCGCTGGTGTCGTTCAAGTTGGACAGGTGGGTCCAGACGTACGATCCAACTACAGAAACACACACACACAAAAAAACACTCGCTCAAGTACTTATTTGAGTGGGCAAAGCAGGGTTTAATATTAGTGGAAAAAAAATTCTGCTGACTTATGGAATTACTACAGGGTACCAAGGCATGACGCCATTTTCAACCATGGAGAGCAGTGCAAATGAACTGAGTATGTGCACGGTCTGGTTCTCCGGACTGTGTCTTTTACATGCATAATTGTGCGTGTGACGCATTCATTTTTGTACCCTATAACCCTTTCCGATCCACGCCTCAGGCAGATATCCTCAATCTTTTTCCATTCTCAATATCTAGTTCGATCCTTAAACTTCTTCGCTTTGTTCTGAAATCACTCATTCCCTCTTTCAATATGAATCTCTTGTAACTGCCACGAGCATTTCAAAAGCCCCTCCTACTTGAAATTTTACTCCGCCGCCCATCTGAAGTTTTACCCCACTTCCATTTTCAATGTGACATTAATATTTGAAACTCCTATAAAATTCCCAGCCTGTGTTTTCCTCACACCTTGGCCCCGATTCGTTTCCATCGGGACTTCCTTCACAACTTCCGCGACATTCAATATTTAATATGATTCAGCCATGTCAATTCTCAATGCCGCTCCGATTCCAACGTGGGCAACTTCCGACAGAATTCCCGGATTTTACCTTGGTCACTCTCCTCCTCCATCAGGACTTCCTTGACGACTTCCATGATGTTCTCACTAGGGCAGGTCATGATGGCACGGTAGGCCCCGATACGCAGCTCAGTGTCAAAGTGCTGATTCCTGTACAGAGCTACGGCAAGCGTTTGCTGTCAAATCCAATCAGATTTCGCAGAGAAAAAAATTAGAAAAGAAATGCCAGCCCTCACAGTCTTCTGACATTAAACATAACTGAGGAATGAATGCCATTCGAAGGCTTCATCAAAACTGTGTTAATTCCAAATCTGTTGCCATCTGCTTAACTTTCCTGAGGCAGATTACCTATACCATACTTTCAATGAACGTATCAATTATTCTAGAGTATAGGTTAGACTTTTCACTCAAAATTTACACGGAAATTATGTATTTGCGTGAATTACTGAATTGAATCTCTTTTTTACGAATAACTGAATTGAAACATTTTCTTGTTTGTCCCTCTGAATTCTTGACTCACTGTAACTGGGGTCTATTTTGCTGAGAGGCCGAGTCAAAGTGCACAACACAAAAGGGTTTTTTCCTTCTCCTTAAAAACTAGAGCTAGGAAGCACATGGGAAGTAAGAGGTTTCACACAGGGAAGGGGGCTCTGTACCCTCCATGACCATGAGTCACGCCACCGTCTGAACTTCTACTCAAAGATTCAGAGATAAGTTGCTACACTCCCAGAATCAACTGCAAGTCTGAGCCGCAGAAGAAAGAGAGGACTCACGTATTCTGGCTTGCAGGGGAGACGCCTGACCACCTCTAGGGCGGCGATGCGAATCTCCATCCCTTTACTCGGGTTGTGGTGGTCAAAGCAGTTGTTGATGATGCTGATCTTGCTGTCGGTGGACAGATACCTGGCGTTGCTCAGTGCCTTCAGGGCCATCAACATCTGCCGATGAAAGATTGAGGGAAACCCATGGAAACGACTGGTAAGAGTTCGTCGGGGTGGGGGAGGGGGGCAGTCAGGTTCGTGGAGAGGTTCATTCCTCATCTTCAACCTTGAGGTGCTAATCCTGCCTTTGTCAATGCAGACTTAGGCTTTCAGTTCCTACCTGAATTCTGTGGGTTTCCCACAGAATATTACTTCCATTTTTCTAAACCTTAACATATTTCACCGTCATCTCTCTACGGTTTTTTCAGTCTTTCAGTAGATCGTTCACTCAAGATAAGAGCAAGATTCCAATTAATACTACACTGAGGGATTAAAAGAGGGTCATGGACAGAGGTCATGTCATTCTCCGTCTGTAGATATGAGCTGCTAACACCAGCATGTACATGAGGCGAGATAGCATCCAGTGGTCTTTAAACAGTGCTAACCTCGATTTGATAGTATCTGTATCATGTGGCTATGACTGTCAGCAATACTTCTGCTTATGGAAACTACCAGCTGGTGGCTACGTGCATTTTCCATAGATTCAAGTGTTACTGCAGCCATAGCCACAGCCACAAACATAGTTCTGTGAAAAGATTCAGCTGTCTGTAATCTGGCACCACCAAATAAACCTCACAACCAAACCAACGATTTGGACTTACCTTGAGAGATGGAACCTGATTGGTGGGAGTGCAGTCGTAGCCCAGCAGCTGCTGGAAGTACTGCAGGGCCTCCCGGACCTCCGCCTCCTCCAGACACGCTGGGTTCTCCGAGGTGCAGTACCTGTTGATGAGGGAGGAGATGGGCAGGAAGAACACAGTGTCCTCTACGGGCAGCGTCTGTATCACGGACTGCAAGTGACAGTGGTACAAAGGAAAAAGATCACTGGAGTCAAACTGAAAGACCAAGCTGGATGCTCTATGACAGTGCGGTAAGACTTTGGTCGGAGGGGAGCATATTTGCCGAGTGTAAGAAGGTTTTACAAAGCAAAAGCAGGTTTCACAACGGCTGAGAGAGGCCAGAACTTCGACCTCAGAATCTCTGTCTTCTTTCAATATGACAGAATTTGAGACGACGAACAAAGCACTCTGTCCATAACATGGAGTACTTGCTGGTTCTTGTCAGGCGTAGTCACAAAACGGGTATTTTGGCACGGTGCTACCGCAGACCTTTCATTTAATGCACTCTTTGTCCTGGACTCCTCTAAGATTAACATAGTTTGCTAATTTTTTTGGGGGGGAGGGGGGCACTCAATGAAATCTCACCATAAAGGCTGAGATCATTTCCTTGGTGGGATGACTGATCATGGACGGCAGGGTCAGCCAGGTGATCCGCGTCGCATTGAATGCCTTCTTGGCAGCCTCGTCGGTCGAGGCGGTCATCTCGCTTATGATGGACGTCATCATCTCCACACTAGGGGTGGTCTCGCACATCGGCAGGGCATCCTTGAAAATGGTGCTGTTGCCATTGAAATAAAAGAGGGACCATGTCTTGTGGTTAACAACACGAGTGCAAAGACTTGCTGATTAAAACCACCAGTAGATGAACGACCGAGGGCTTACAACCAAGGAATGCGCTGGTTGCCAATGTGAGTTTCTCTAAGTCTGGGTACTTCAATCCGATCATTTGCTGAATCCATTACCACAAACACATATCACCAGCATGAAAGGTGGGTATGCGTTTGTTCACATCTTGTAATCTTGTTGGTAATTCATCTTGTTGGAATCGCGACCTCAACACAACCACTCATACCTTTCCATCTGTGCATTTCTAAACGAACTTGTACTAGCCGCTGATGGGCTGTAAGCACAAGTAAGGAATTCAGACTGGACCCTGAATGTTGTCTTTGCTACTTTCCCAATAGAAGTCACAAGATGCTGTGATCAACTCTTACACTGAACTGTTGCAGTAGTTAGAAAAGGGACTGCAAATGAAAACCTCCATCCTAACCTCTGAATCACAGACTATGGAAACCATGACTACATCAGTGATCCCCCCCCCCAACACATGATTTGCTGAACACACTTACAACAGGGCTTTGCCCTGACCCTCGGCAAACTCCCTAAGCTCCCTCATGCCCGACTGGGTGTCCACCTTGCGCATCTCGGTGACCAGGTCCGAAAAAAGGTTGGGCATGTCCAGGCCGACGCTCTTGGTGGCGCGGCGGTTGATGGCTGTGAGGAGCTGACGGGCCTTGGCCAGGGTCTCCTCCTGCGGCTCTGTCTGGGCCTCCTCGTGGTCAAACAGGATGGTGGTCCGCCTCTCGATGGCGGTGCCTGTCGTGACAAGATAAAATAAAAAAATCAGGAGTAGTGAGAGGAAAATTATTTCCACTTGTCTGTAGACGCAGATAGGGTCAGCCACTGAAACTTTCATTCCTTTGAGACAAATTTGTCATCGGTTGAATTTTAGCTACGAGCATCGCCAGGGAATGGGTCTAGCTCTGTAACACGAATTATTCCCGCAAACAATATATTTTTCGCTGAGAAATTTTTTCACCCCCAAGAGAAATGTTTGAAATATGGAAGCTAAATAAAACTTTGGTCATCACTTTGAATCCACGATATTAAAATCTGACTGACTCGTGGGTGGAGTAGCTTCCTGTTGACTTGTGAGCTCGATGGTGACAGTGACCAGGTTCAGTGCGCCAGATGTCTGCTTGGAAAAGGCCTTGGAGAGGTGGCGCTCCTTGCAGACTGATTCTGAGACAATGTTGGAGTCTGCAAAGGAGACTTCACACTCAAGGGAGCAGTCCCAGATGTCCAACAGGGGCTGAAATAAATGAACCGATAAAGAGAGCTCGAAACCATCTTCCTATGGTACAGGTCTAACATGAAATTGAGGATACTGAATGAAATCTTTGATTTATCTTAAACAGAAATGTTCTTAAGTTGGTTTTTTTTTAACAAATCTGCTTTAAAATCACAGAGACATTGTAGAATCATTCTGAATTTTTTTTTCATTTTAGATTCCAAATGCAAATGTGCTGGAACAAGGCTGACAAGGAGAGCATGCTCATTTGGCATGTTTATGAGTTGATGTGGATACATACTGCGTCCGCCTTGAGCATGGTGGCCTGAATGCTGCCCTCCAGCTTGTTATGGTGTTCGCAGCCTTTAAAATCCTTGTACTTCTTGATGGATCCTGGGAATTCCGATCGCGTAAGCTTGGTGGGACATTTACCTGTAACGTCAGTCTTTAAATAAAAACGAAAACATTCAAACCTTCCAAAGCTCTGATCAGGTGACAAAGTCACATGAAACATGACAATATTTGTCTGGTGATCCTCTGCATCGGTTCGTAACAGAACATTCATGAGCAGATTTCATGATGTCAGCAAACATTTTCATAATGGCATTCACCAACTACCTGATAATCCGCTTCGCTCCTCAGCACGAAGTACAAACTGAACTGTTCCACACACAGTTGGCGGATTTCACCAAGTACCTTTTTGAGCCACGGTCTTAAGGAGCCATCCGGTTTTTTTTAATAATTCATTTAAGCTTGTAGAAAGTGCTTTTTTTTTGGACCTTGCCCTAAGCCCTCAAAGAGAGTACACCGTACAAATTGAAAAGGGTCGCGAAAACATCAAAAATAAAGCTCCCCGCATTTGTGGCAGCCAGTTTCAGTTTTCAAACCTACCTCGGTGACAATGGTTTCAGTCTTGTTGACTGGCATCTCAGTGACAGGTGCTTGGAGAGCAGACAGGATGCCCCGCTTGAAGTTGAGGGCCCACGTCTTCTCACTGGTGGGGCAGACGTCTGTGACCACACCATCGTGAAAGGCAAACCGTAAGACGTTCTGCTCCAGCTCACGGACCATGTCAACATTATTTGTCGCTTCAACGATGTCGCCATTGGCATTGGACTCGAACACGGCGACATCTCTCAGCTGAGGGAACAATAAACAGAATCATCCACTTGGCAGAGACAGAAGACACCTTCGATACCAAAACAACAGGGAGTGCAAGTTGCTCAATTTAACACATGCCCTTAAATAAAAGCTCATCGATCAAAGCTGACAGGAAACAGTATTTACATCAAGTCATTGAATTTTACCCAAACAGAACGTTATGTTGTAAAGGTCACCATCAAAATGTTTGCAGAGAAAAGAACTACATGTACTTTGAAATTACTCGATAAATAAGTTGCACGTGACCCGATAAGGAAGTACTGCTTAAATTCCCAGTATGTATGGCCTGTTTATTGTTGTTTTTAAATTTGTGGTTTTGTTGGTTTGCTTTTTTATCCAAGGTCCTTCAAAAAACTTCAGTTTTATTAGAACCATTCATGTGACAATTTACAAGTCGCAGCCCTTCCCAAGTAAATTCCCGTCTTTGCTCACAGTTAAGCTTTTACTGGTATTTGCCTTTAAATGTGCAAGTTGGGTAACAGACCTCTTATAATGCGGCAACTGAATTTTTCCCAATTGGGGTCACACGTTTCCTTTAGATTTCCAAGTTGCGTACCGTGAGGGTGAGTTCGCAGGGGCTGATGACTTCGATCTCAGCGTTACAGTCGAATTTCAGCCAGCCTTCCCGCTCTGAGGTGCCATTGATGCTGATCCCTGTGACTGACGCAGCATTGTAGTGGTAGGTGTATTTTGTTCCTACTTCGTATCTGGCATTCGCTGGAAGTTGAAGGCCAAGTTCATGGGTCAAAACAAGTTGCACATATACGTCAGATACACTTTTGAACTCACTATCGAGGTTATTCTCTGCATGGCTTGCCATATCAAGATATACAGGCAGTCACCTTGTCTTGGACAGCCTTTGACATGACCGAGGTTTTGTACTTGTCAAAACGTCAAGGTGATTGACATTCAAGACATGAGAAAATATTCATCAAAAGGGTAATCTAAATTGACAGGAAACAGAAACAATAACAGAAAAATGACCAAATTCAAATAAAACAACACTTTCCAAATGTATGCTTTTCCAATTGCAAATGCATTTCACTTTAGCACATCCCACATTTTCACCCAATTTAGATTAGGAGGAAATTGGACAATTTCCATGACATTTAATGCCATTTGAAGAAAAACCTGTTGGTATTACAGACTGGATAACTGCCATCGCCACTGCTATATTTTGTCAAGTATAGAATGTGATTTTATCATTATTGCATTTGGACCTATTACACTGAAAGCAACCCATTAGAAACTGGCCTTGCATGATTTTTATTTCCATGACTTCCCATGACTTCTTTCCACTGGCAACAGAATTCCAGGACACCCTTTTTTATTTTTCCAGTTTCTGTGACTTCCCATAACGAAATTTTTTTTTAAAATTTACATGAAAACTCATAAACTTTCATGAAAAGGAAAAATATAGTGTGAAAAGATATGTGCTTAAATTACAGTCTGTTTGGAACATCATGTTCATGTGAGCCTAGACCGACATTGTATATCCTTAATATAATTGGGCTTCTTGTTCCATGTCACAAAATCATAACAAGCTAAACAGGGCTTTTTTCTGTTCATGCCAAGATGCGAATTCTGAATGTAGATTGCGTCATTCGGAGGAAACAGAGAAAATTAGGGGAACCCTCCCCAAGCAATGCATGTAGCCACTGTTTGGCATGCACAAGGGTTCATCCCCTGCGAAAACCGGGTGAGGGTTCCCGTAGTTTTCTGTTTTCTCCGAATGACGCAATCTACATTCAGAATTCACATCTTGGCGTGAACAGAAAAAAGCCTTTTTAGGTTTGCTATAGTTGAGCTCTGAAGACTGCATTTGATTTGGATGACTCCATAGTTATTGGAACAGATAAAATCACAGAAAACATGTTTTCCTTAGAGGTTCTATTTAAAGGCTAGTCCCACAATACAACCATGATACTTTAAGGATGGATTAATTGGCTTTCGAGCTACAGGGGTTTACTTTCACTTTTATTAGTCCTGGCCACCTTAAAGTGGGTTGTTTTGGTTTGTTGTTTGTCTTTTTCTTTTTAATATACATGTACATGTTCTAGTTTGTTTTGTTCACTACTAATAATACAACCAGTGTGACAACATGCTGAAGTTGACCATGAAATTCATATAATCATAAAATATGTATGACATTGTTTTCGTCTACCCATCATGCCTATGGAGATTCTTACCTGAAAATATTAATTCTGTGAATTCGGAAACATCTATAAAATTAAATCTATAATATCATTCTTACATATATTTTCTTGCCTCATTAAAAAACAACTTTGGTAAACCTGCCGCACTTCTTTCCAACTCGAACATTGCATCGGTCTACTTCGTCGGGCACCCAGACTTATTAAGCACGATTTTTCATTACAAAGTTTTGAAGCTGGATACCCGTTCAGAAATTCTGCCATTGAAAGCATGTGCTTTACACCCTCTGGGATCACGAGGAAAATCAATAAGGAGAAACGACTCACCGACGTTGCATGTTTCTCTCGAACAGTGTCTGGATCCCAAAGCTGAAAGAGGAGCTGCAAAAAAAATAGTAATAATAATAAATAAATAAATCAAAATAAAAAAGAAGTGCAACTTTTCCATTTTATTCTGTTTTTATCAGTTTATATCAACGAATTCCTTTAATCCGCAAAGTTCGTTTCAATCATTTGCTTAACAGTTAAAAAGAAATCTTAATTGCAAAAGTTGAATCATATTTCATTTTTAAAAAATTTTGCAACTTATTTTTCAAGAACAATGGCTGGACTCAATGCACAAAGCCCTGGACGCATTTTCCTACTAACAAGAGGGCGCCATATTACTCGCCCACGGTAAAAAAAAAATAAATAACTAGTGATAATGGCATGGTGTGACGTGAGTCAGCTATGAAATCACGATGAAACTATAAAGATCGTACTGTACATCGATCAGGATGTGCACTATATGTAGACGATCAACTGATTTTATCATCCATGTTTACCCTTTGATAAATCATTCCGGAGCTGTTGTGGTTTGACCTTTCATCCCACGGTTGGCAATCACAATGTTATCATGCCAGTTTTATTATCTTAATCAGTGAACCAACAAAGCAGTTTATCCCTGTTTTTCTCCTAGGGAAAAACCTCTCTTTAACTCGAAGAAAGGCAGGTTTTTTTTCTATTGGCATGATAAAACAGCCCCGTCATCCAATACAAACGTACAGACTCCTAATGAAACTGTGCCGCAACTTTCTCATAATTTCCCTTGTTCCCTAGGTAGAAAAACTCATTTACGGTATCGATACTTCCTCAGTGCTTCTTGTTATCATCACGGAAAAAATGACCACAGAAAATAAACTTTGTCTCTCAAAATATCCCAAGGATTCACCAGGAATGCTTGTCACTCTCAAGCACTGACGACCTTTCACACGATGGCATTTTTGTAAGATTTCTTAAGCATAAGAAAATTTCTCAAACCTTGCGAGATTGTTTGTCGTCGTGTGAAAAGGGCTATTTTGTGTTAACCATGGAGGTAGAAAGCCAAGCGATGCGTGAACAGAACCGAGGTGATAAAAAGAGAATCCCGTTGCCGTAATACGATACCCTCTTAGCAACCAAGACTCCCAGGTGCGCAGCTCAAGTAATAATTCATTTAAAGACCCTCTGGCTGATCGATAAGCGCTAGCCTGGAAGCGCCGAGTGAAACTGGCTGCGGGCCGACTGAGCATGCGCGAGGCTGGAATCTGCAAATCAGCTGTTCCGTGTAAACAATACGCGGTCTGGGCATAGACCCGGTGGAGAATAGTCTCGGTCCGTTGTTCGCGTTGACGCTTATCGACTCCAGAACAAAGGGAAAATTTCAACCTGTACGAGAAAGATCCTACTGCCATAAACAATGAATTTATTGCACCTTTTGCCTTAGTTTAAAAAAAATTATGTACCACCATGGAGGTAGGAAAACGAAAAGACTGTACAAGCGATCTGGTTCGCTACGTACATGTTTTATGATGTTACATGTTCGTTTAAGTTGTGTCTTTCTTTACTTAACACAAAACAGAGAATCGCCATGCTATCGACAGAAAAAAAATATGTAGGCCTACTATTTGACTAAATCAACGGAGTCGCTGTTGCATGGCGAATTTTGTTTGTTATACAAACTATTTCTACCACGAAAAGGAGTAAATCGCAACTGTCAGTCACTAATCATAACCATAACCCAGTACCGCACAAAGCAAATTCTGCACTGCGGTTTGCCGGGTCCTGACGTTTTATCTATCAATAGTATCATCATGTCTGTGGTCGTGTGGTTGAAGATATAAAGGGACCGCTATCTACAAAATCGAATTTCTACCTCCATGTTCAAACATAGTTTTCCCGGTTCTCTTAATGTAAGATTAAAAGAAATTACAAAGTACATTCGCACAAAAAAAAACTTTCGTTGGTATTCTTTAGTTACTCCAAAGCTTTTTGCGATGAATACAGAAATGAGTTTTGTCCATGGTCTGAGTGCCAAATTTTCTGAGCAACTCACCAAACGATTTGCGAGAATAAGATTATTTCTGTCAAAGTTTTACTCACCAGCATACGCTCCAGCGACACAAGCCAGCAACAACCACGTCTTTAACAGCTCCATGACGGCCAGTTATAACCGTGGCCGCTCAACAAGTCCAGTCTGTGAACTTCTCGAGCTAGCAATTCGACAACTTTTAAACTTCGTTGCGAAATTGCAGGAGCTTTTATACCAGGGACTTTGACAAGAGCACCCTGGACTTATCCAATTATGCATATTAGAAATACTGAGCTGGTGCAGGGAGCCGTACAAAGGCTAGGTTATCCCCGCGATCCCCCGATAGTTGTCAAGGTTTATTGCGGAGTTGGTGCAGCTCTTACGGTTATTGTTGGACCTCCCCGCAGTCCGCGTTGACACTTGTTCATTGGGCTGTCATCATTGCTCGAGAAGTGACGTATGGGCTATTTTGTAACCACCCTCCGGAAAGAGAGGAAAAGTCCAGATACGCTTATTTCACAATGTTATTTACTCTTACGTGTTGCCTCTAACAAAAGTTGATCACAATAAAATTTATGGCTCTTGGTTGTGCGATAAAAGTGTAACGGAAATACTATGACCACACTAGGCCTAAATTTTATATACGCCACGACCAAAAAAGTCAATGAAATTGAAAGAAGGGCTGGGTGCTCCAAGAGGATTAGAATGGGTGCTTCTGGAAAAACCCTCATCATGAGGAATCAAAAATACAAATGAAGATGGTGCAGACAACAAAAATAAAGTGATGATGTTGTTTCGACGAAGGGTGATCTCTCTCAAGTTCCAGCTAAACAATTTTGAAGAAAAAACACCTCCAGATGTTGAGACAATTTAGAATTATGGAAACGTTTAAAACTGGGGATTATGCATATTCTGAAATGTTAAGGTGAATAGCAGAACTTAAGGAATGGGAAATTTACAATCATGGGAATTTGTGAAAAATGGAGGAGGGGGCGGGGGTCGCTTACCTTTTCAACAAAATCTTGAGAAATACTCGTTAAAATATCTTTCGCTGGTGATTGTTACAGTTAAGAGGGGGATTACTCCCAGTATACAGACTTCTGTAATTAGGCGTATCGCATATGCATGAGGACGTGACAGAAATTAGGACTACTGCATCTGACGTTCATTTTGTTGTAATTTCCACTACGGCCCTGAGTGGAAACCAAGACAAATTTCAACTTCCAAGTGCGTCAAATTCTGAAGCGGGCCTTTTTGGGGGAGGGGTGAAAGCTGGTTAAGCCCTAATCCTCGCGTTGGTCTATCTTTCTACCAGTCCAGTCGAGGGGCAGGAGTTTTTACGACCGGGGTAATGTTTTCACACTAGGCGCCTTCGTAACATCAATAACTCTCTCAATGACAGCAGGGGGGGTCATGTCTCCCATAAAAACAATCGTCACCCCACTTGAAATATGGGAAAGCAAAGAAAACGACAGAAACAGTAATTTGACATTTAACCGCCCTATGGCTGATCAAGGGCGGGTCCAGAACCAATTCTTTTGTTGGGGGGGCAAAAACTTTGAGAAGCTTTTTTGCGTAAACTTCACCATGGCCACTTTTAGGGGCAAGGCTGTATGAAGCCTTTCTACACGTTGTCGGAAGGGTGGCAGATGAAAAAAGACACCCCCCCCATTAAAAAAGAAATCGTCTGGCTCTCGTTTTTTTCAATTAAACCACAAATGGGGGGCCGTTTTGGTGGGGGAAATTATCGACTTGGATAGTATAGATACTATCAATTCACAAGTTATTATTAGTATAATTTAATTGTTTTCAAGAAATACTTATTTCATCACCTGCATTCCTGACTTGGCAGGTTTCCTGAAATTCTCGCACTCGCTGATTGGACGAAACTTATCGAACCACCATTACCTCTGACCTGAGCCATACGTTGGGGGCTTGTGATTGGATAAAAATTAATCAAGAAGTCGTAAAGAAAAGCGAGACGTACTACCAGTACACACGGAGCGACTTTTACCTAAGGATATTGACAGTTTTGGCCCGAATTTTCGGTCGTTCTCCTATTCATCTATCAAAAGAAGGTAAGTGTTTACTACTGTTAGTTACATGCTATGTTAGGCATATTAAGTTTCGACTCAAAAGCACAGCCAAATCAGCCACACCTACACTCTCACCATGCTTTCACTTAGGCTACTGTTTGTCATATCAAATTGCATTTTACCTATTTCGTGAAATGTTTCGTGTGAGGTAAACATGTTGAACTTGAAGCATGGTTGGAGGGAGTTGCAGTTTCATTTTACTTTTATATCTTTTGCCTTTATCTGTTTACCCATCGTTTAAATAGTGTCATTTTATACTGGGCTGGTCTGTATTGCTATGACCATGATGACGTTCCTACGTCCTACCTACCAGTACACGTACATGACCTACATCATGTAGGCCCTGCAAGGGCGCCTCGTCTAACGTTAGTCCGAGCATGGACACCAATGCCATGGACTCATGGAGGGTCTGAGGGAGGAAAAGAAAAACTTGGACTCAACGAATCGCCTTTTTTAACATTTGGACCTGTCCAAATATTTAAAAAAGCGATTTATTCAAATGTTTAAAAAAAAGAGGCGATTTGTCATGATGTAGAGTCGAACTAGGCCCCTGGGCTTACTAGCTGACTAAGACTAGCCTGCCTTTGTTCTGGATTGCTTGAAGTTGAACTTGAAGTAAAAATCTAGGCCTAACGTCAGCATAGTCAGGCGTAGGTGGAGTAACGTTAGGACCTAGGCCTTTTGTGTGGTTCTTCAGTTCGACATGTAGGCTTCTTCTTGTACAAAATTTCTTCTCAGAAAATTTCTCGAAAAGAAATTTTGGTCAGGTATCCGATTTGCATTTCGGCATTTTGAATGGTTTATAAAAAATCACGAAAGCCCCCCAAAAAATTGACAAAAATCTACACAGCCATAAGTCAACTCACTATGCAAAATTGCAAATACCTTTTTTCATACTTAACAGTCATGTAAAATTTTGCATCTAATGTCTGTTTAATCAGATGACATTTAGACTTTCCGTTTGTTTAAAATTGGCCGAAAATTGAATGCATAGTTTTTCCTAGTTTCGGATTGTGCATTTTTTGCACACAAATACATTGCAAACTCAACTACGTGGACGGAGCAGTTATGTATGTGATGTAATGGGTTCATCATTGTGCGGAGTAGGGGATAGTATCGTTGATAGCTTGCTGTACAGTGGGAAAGGTAAAGTCGAACATCCAAATTTACGCAAGTCCTACTTTTTAATTCATTGGAATTCTTATTTATGAACTAATTTTCTCTAAATTAAGATATTCTTCATTGGAAAATCAGCTTGTTATGATGGTTCCGGCTGTAATATGGATTTCTCGTGTGGTTAGTTTTATTCGTGAAGAAGTTTTTATTGGAACTGGTTAAACCGATCAGGGATGTGAGAATTCAGCTTTTTAGCTGATGTCCGTTTTTTTTTGTTCAGATGTTGACCCTGAATTTCAGCTTTTTTGTACACCTGGTCCGTACAAAAGCATTGGAACTTTTTACATTTCAGCTTTTTGCTAGCAGTTTTCAGCTTTAATTTTACGTGACCACTCACACCCCTGACTGATCCAGAACTAGGAAAAGTTTCGTCAACACTTTCATTGATCCTGTAAAGTCCAAATTAAAAGCTAAGATTTTGAAAATGACTAAGATGGAAAGCTTGCGGTAAGCACTATGCAATATCTCTTTCTGAGTCTGTGTGGTTCTGATAAGAACCGGAGAGGCTCAACGTTTCGGACAGTGTGCTCTGTCCGTTGTCAGGAGACTGAACTGGATAGTAAACGAAACGAAACGTTNGCTTGAAATCCCATTTTGAAAATGATTTGGTACTTTGCCACATTTCACTGGAATTTGAGGATTTTTGTACCTGCTATCTGACTGAATAATTTCCGTGATCCATAACTAGGAAAACGACTGTAGTAGGACAGGCATGACTAAGGCCTTGGGCTACATTTTGAATGATTGTAGGCCTTCAATACAGACGGCCCCCAACGTACCCAGCCAAACCAAGAAACTTGAAAAGAGCAGTGTGGTTAAATAACTGATAGGCTTCTCCTATTGAAATATGACCGAAATTAATATTATTTATATTTAGGCAATAGGCATCGTCAGGGTTCTTTGGGGAAAAAAACACACATTTTTCTTGGGGAAAATTTCCCAGGGGGGTTGGTTGAGGGGCAAAGTTAAGCTAAAACAAAATAATAATTAGGCTAACAATAACAGTGGAAGGGGGCATCCAGAAATTTTCAAGCAAATTGGTGAGTTTCATCCCCTTCTTTTTTTTTTGCCTTTTTTTTCCTCTCCTCTTTTTTTCGTGCTTAATTTTTCTTTTTTTTTTGAAGGGGGAGGGGCTGGGGTGGTGGGAAGTACCCCCCCCCGGTAGTGTCCACAAATTAGGCCTAAAAATTTTACACTAATGTAAAAAAACATGAAACTTGCCTAGGCTATAAACATGACTAACAGTAACACTCACCACGCTGACACTTAATAAATGAGTTAGTTTAGATTTTTGAAGTTTATTTTCACGCCCCTCCTGTCCTTCTGTCCCAGCTGCTCAACTGTGTTGATGTTTGTTTATTTTTTGTCAGTAGAATAGGTGAACTTTCGGGTGACAACATTATAAAATCTTAGTTAGAAAAAGCAAAGATCATATAGCGCCGCATAGCGGCGCAAGATGGAGAACTTCACTGTGAATACACATAAATGTTGTAATCGCATGGGCGCCATTTGAACAAGCGATACGCCTGCACAATGCACATTAATGCACAGGGGACACCGTGGCAGGCACGTACACCTGGTGCGCCCTAAGCTTTACCGTGAACCGCGCATGTGTATCACTTTCTCAAATGGCGCCCATGGTAATTACACCTTTTGGGCAGTTATCCATCTTGCTCCCTCGTGCTGTATGATCTTTGGAAAAAAGTACTGTGAGCAGAAACTATGCATTGCTGGAATGTTTTAGCTTTTTAGCCTAACATAGGGTTAACTGAGAAACTAATCAGAGTGTCTCACACCTTCAAGGGGTTCTGCCAGTTGACGAAAACAATCTACAAAACAACCAAAAGAGTTTCCCTCCATGAGTTCTACCATGTGGTGGTGTCAGTCCCATTGGACAGGGTTCCCGCGGCCTAAAAAGTCATGGAAATTTGTTTTTGTTACCCAAGCCTGGAAAAGTCATGGAATTT